CTTTTCTCTTGCTTCTCTCTCTTCTTTCTCTTTCTTCTCTCTTCTTTCTCTCTTTTCTCTTTCTCTCTCTTCTTTCTCTTTCTTGTCTCTCTTCTTTCTCTTTCTTCTCTCTCTTTCTTATCTCTTTCCTCTTTCTTTCTCTTCATTCTTTCTTATATTCTCTCTCATGTTTACTTGAAAAGGAGGCTCTTTGGGTTAGTGATTTTCTGATAGGCTAAGCTTACGACTTCACTTCCCGAACCCTCCGGGTACCAAGGCTTCGAGCCTATGACCTTTCTTTTTCTCCTGTAATACCTCTTAGGATAGGTTATGCCAGAAGGCTGCCCAATTCCATAGCCTCTTCTTTCTCTCTCTTTTTCTTCTTTGCCTCTATTCTCTTTTTCTTTCTCCTTTCTTTCATTTCTCTCTCTCTCTCACTCAGATCCAGAGCGGGTCCGAGCTCTCTCTTTTCTCTCTCTCTTTATTTCTCTCTTTATTTCTCTCTTTGTTCTCTCACTCTCTCTCTTATCACGGACTCATGCCAAGGGCTGGCCCGAGCTCTCTCTCTCTCCTATCATGGACCCACACTAAGGGGGAACCCGAGCTCTCTCTCTCTTCACTCGGACCTAGGGTGGGTCCGAGCTCTCCCTCTCTCTCTTCCACCGTCACAGACCTGCACATAAGGCGGGTCTATCTCCCACTCCCTTTCTCATCTTTTTTTTTCTCTCTTACTCTCTTTGTGACATGGGCTTGTGCCGAGCCCGCCTATCTCATGCTCTCTCTCTCTCTCCCCTCCCACTCACCGTCACAGATCTGCGCATATGGCGGATCCTTCTCTTTCTCTCCCTTTCTCGTCTCTCTATCTATCTCTTTCTCCTTTCTAGTCACAGAACTGCACCAGAGGCGGGTCCATCATCTCTCTCCCTCACTGTCTCTCTCCCTTACTCTCCCTCTCTCACTCCTAGTCACGGACCCATGCCACAGGTGGGTCCATCATTTCTCTCTCTAATCCTCACTCTCTCTTTCTCTCTCACTCTCTCTCTATCTCTCCATTCTCTCTAACCCTTACCCCTTACTCATCCTTTCTCTCTTTTGTTTGACTCTCTCCTCTCTTTCCTTCCCATTTTTATCTTTTATATCCCCTTTCATCTCTTCTTTCACACTCGATCACTCGAGCTGGGGTCCTCTTGAGACAGCTCCTTTAAAAGGGTTTTAGCTCTTAGACTGCTCTAACCATCAGTTCACATAGTGTTTTGGGTATTAAGAGACTTTGATTCTCTTGTGCTTGATCACTCAGGCTGGGGTCCTCTTCAGATAGTTTCTTTAAAAAGAGTGTTCACCTTTGAACCACTCTAACCACCTAGTTATATAGTGTTCGGTTGTGAGAGATTTATATCTCTTCCATTCTCTTTCATTCTCTTCTCTTCTCTCCCTGGATCACTTTTAGGAGAATATTTGAGTTAGTAATATAGTCACGGGCTAAGTACCGTGACTCTACTTTCCGATACCTCCAGGTATCAAGGCTTCAAGCCTTGTCCCGTCCTTTGTCTTTGGTAATACCTCTTAAGAGAGGTTATATCAGGAGGTTGCCCAATTCTTGGGTCACCCTATTTCTTCTTCTATTTCATCTTCTTCTTCTTCTTATCTCTAAACTAAACTCCCCATCAATTCACTCTTATTCTTCTCTTTCTTCTCTATCTTTTCTCACCCTTAGTCTAGACTCCCCAATCTATCATATAATTACCAATTGGAGGAGAACCAAAAAAGGTATACCCTGAATGCCATTTTTAGTGTGTGGATCCAAGTGTTGTGCAGTGAAGCGAGGGAGCCGAATTCAAACTGCACTGCAAAGACAGCCGTAGGGATTTTGAAATCATCTAAGATGGCAAATCGCTTAGACGCTTCCCCCAAACCCAAACGACGAGGTAGGTGCTCGAGCCCTTCTTTGTCAATTAGAATCTCTCTCTTTGTTGGTTCCTATCTGCACTACATGCACATGCACATACATGCTTGTAGGCCATGCGATTGTTCAAGAGAGGATTCCTCCAATCGGGTGTCACACCCCAAGAATTTACAATACTATTATTCCTGAGATGTGACGGACAAAACATATATACATCTATTGATACGAC